TTTTTTATAACTGTTGTACAAGTATTTGATATTATCATATATGCGGATAACAATGTTATTGATTTCAATGTATTTGATTATCATGTATTTATAACAAATATTACTTTTTATTGCAAACGTCAAAAAAATTCAAGGCGGAAGAACTAAAACATACTGGTCCTTTATTCATTAAAAAAATATGTATGGCTGTCATCATTATAGAACTATTATACAGCATTATAACATTAATTATCCGTGTCTGGTTCAAAATAGCTTCATTCATCTCATTGTATAGATTGTACTTGCAGAATGGTATACTACATGAGTCATGTCATATAGTTTTTATCTCTGCAAAAGTAACGCTTTTGCTACCGATGTTCAATGATGAAATTCAAAAAATTATGATATAGTGACTATGAGATGATGGCTTGTACAGTATCCACCACGGGTTTACGACATACTGCACATGTTTTCATGTTCTTTGCACACTCAGCACAAGCAACCAAGTGTCCACACGGTACAAATACTTTCCTTAATTCTCTGTTATAACAGATTTTGCACATCCTCGCATCATCGATTGGTTTACCGGGTAAATTATTTTGCGATTTTGCGACAGTAGATAATCGATGATCACTACTAAACTCGTTTGATTCCGTCGAGATTCCGCCGCCTATGCTCTCAAAGCCACTATCTTGAGAGCCTATTGAATTTTGAGAGCTTGGTCCAGGAGGAGGATAACACTCCTCCTCATCGTCAACTTTTTCATCTTCCTCACAGATTGCTATAGATTGCTTATAAGATTCCTTTAAAAAAAGAGATAAGTATCATAGAATTAATATAATATTTTTTATTTAGAAGACAAATATGTTATTTTTTTATAAGTGTAAAATGCACACGTTAACATGTTCCGTGTCGGACCGATTTTTGGAGACTTTCCGTTCAGGCCGCGTGGGGCGTATACATGTGCAGTGGGGCGTATACATGGGGCGAAAACATGCGCAGTATGTCGTAAACCCGTGGTGGATACTGTACAAGCCATCATCTCATAGTCACTATATCATAATTTTTTGAATTTCATCATTGAACATCGGTAGCAAAAGCGTTACTTTTGCAGAGACAAAACTATATGACATGACTCATGTAGTATACCATTCTGCAAGTACAATCTATACAATGAGATAAATGAAGCTATTTTGAACCAGACACGTATACGCTCCACGCGGCCTGAACGGAAAGCCTCCAAAAATCAGTCCGGCACGGAACGTGTTAATAACCTGTTTGCTGTTGGATTTTCCAGTAACTTTGTTTACATATTCCTGTCCTTGAACCATAAGCAAGTAACAACATTTAGAAAACCATTTGGCATGCTGTTCCCAAGGATCATCCTCTGGCTCCCAATCTTTCAATCCGCCTCCGCAATAATAGCATAATGTTTGATCACCATTTCCTGTATAATAAAATCCAGCAGTTGCCAATTGCTCCTTGGTTTGTGGCATTGATATAGGCCACATTTCAAATGTACGTAATCTATCGTCATAATTAGCAAATTGAGGATGTTTCGGGTTCTTTGAGGAGTCAGCACGTCCTCCTCCTCCTCCTGCTCCAAAGTTAAGCGTTACTGCTGCTGTATCTTGTATGTGTACATTGGTGGTGGTATTATCTGAAGTAGCATTAGGACTGTATTCTATACCATAAGGTCCACACACATCTCTTCCTCTAGGCACCGATGGTGGAATTGTGCTGGGATCTACACCCGTGGGTACATTGCCACACGGAATATTCCGAATAAACCTACATTTCGCAGACCACCGTTGATGATCGACCATCGGGTCATCATCTGGCAGCCATTGGCTTATTTCCACATGACACTCGAAACATCTCACTTTGTCGCTCTCTCCTGTATAGTAAAATCCTGCTGCCGCAAGTCTCGCTGGTAGTATAGATGCACATGGCCAGTTTCTGAAACTTTCCTTGCGTGCATCTTCGAAATGATAGTCAATGCTGTCAATTTCATCGAGATATATATCGTTGCTTATAGATGAACTTGTTATTGTTGTTGATAAATGTAAATTCGAAGCGGGCTTGAAAAATCTATCTGTCAATATATTTTTGCGCTCGATGCATTCAGTCATTTTTATAATATGTACTGGATATAGGTGTTTTTTATACAGGCGTTTGAATCTGTAAAAGAAAAGACAAGTTATAGATAAATATACGTTTCATAAAATGATAATTTGTCAGCAATTTGCACACACACACACACACACACACACACACGTGCGAATATATATACGAGGGTTGATCCAGAAATAAGGTTCCCATCAATTTTACAAATAGACAACATTATTTATTCTCATAGAAAATTTACATCGTTGGAAAGATGAAACTTTGCTCTATTTTTCTACATAATCGCTATCTTCTTCTACGCATTTTTGTAGACGGTGCTCCAATTTCTGTATCCCAATGTCGTAGAACTCCGCCGCCAACCCGTTGAGGAAGCGTTTCACCTCTTCTTTGACTTCATCGTCGCTCCGGAAGCGTTGGCCACCCAAGTGTTCCTTTAACTTGGGGAACAAGTGATAATCACTAGGCGCGAGGTCCAGAACCGCCGGCGAGGACGACTGACAGCCGGTGTAACGCTGCTTCACGACAACGCACGATCTCACGTCTCCCGTCAAACCCGTATACACGTAAATAACACGTAAATTTTTGAGTTATTAATTAAAGAAGCCTCTATAAATGACTATTTTCAATCATTGATAACTTGAGATTTTGCGTATTATTTGCACAATGGAACGGAATTTGCACAATAAGACTTTTTTGCTCACTTGTTCTACTTGTACACCACGGGAACCGAGATTAGTTTGGGACACTCTATATATTGTATAACATGCCGTTTTTCATATTCTGAATATATTGTGCATATATTCATCCGCGATGTTTCATTTATTTATTAAATATTATAAATATATTCTGGAAATAACATCTGTATTTTTAACAAAAATAATTAAAAATGTTTGATAAAAAAAATATGTATACATCTAATGAAAAATATGTATACATTTTCTCATAATTATGAATATGAAATGTTATATAATATATGTTTTCCAAAGTAACTTGCTATTGTTTGCTATAAAATTCACTATAATCTGCAATTAAAAATCTAGAGACAATAATAACGTCACCAATATGTGTATTACATTAATTTCTGTGGCATGGCAATGTTGTGTTTCCGTTTTATTTCCAACATTTACTAGTAGCATTATGCCATTATAAATGTTTTTGTGTGAAAGATGTAAAAAATATATTGTATTAGCATAGCCCCTCAAGATATTGATTGATAGGAGATACCACATTGGTATCACAGAAATTCCTGATCGTGATCAATGAAATAAAACAACATTGATAGCACAGTTAGGATCACGTGATAGGTAATCATCCTTCAATGGATCGAAACCACACGTGTCCACACAAAGAACGCATTATTATGAGATAAGAAAATATAAAAATTATAACGGCATCTTTTTTAAGATAAGATAATCTAACATTAATGTTAATGTTTCATTTTGTTTGTGTTAATAAAATTTTGCTTCAAACAATATTCTGTAATCGCAATAATTAATTCCTGTAGTAATTCGTCAAAAACTCTGCTGGTGAAATATTGACCAGACTGCTTAATCATTAATTACTTTTCCCTCCCTGGTGATTGCCAGTAATATTTTTCTGTAAGGGGACAAGAAAGAATACTTCTCCCCCCTTTCCCTTTAAACATATTATGCTGTTACAACGGCATCATATGACATTAAATGTTTGCATACCATACCTTAACAGTTTGTTTGGGTTTTTATTATTGTACCTACCTATATCTTCGTAGAGTTTATTAATTAAAATCAAAGCATCTTGTATATCAGGAGAATTTATTATTATAGTTTATTTTTAGGTACGAATAAAAAAAATGAATAAAAATGATATTAATCGTTAACTTTATATATTTACTTTTCAATTAATTAAAAAAAAAACTTATGTTTATTTATTATATTGCACAATCTGTCGTTATGCAGATATATTTCAATATTGAGATAGCTCTCACATACCTAATCTAATTCTTCTTCTTTTTTTGATAATTCATTGTATCTACCCAAGCAATTATGCAAACGTATACTATTACACATTTCTTTATTTATTTTTTTTTATACCTATATGTGCTCGCAGTATTTATATGTTAAAATTAAGTATTCTATATATGACATGTCATATGAAGTATTCTATATATGACATGCCATTTCAAAATAGAGAGATTTAAAATAGACTTTGATTCCAAGTCAATAGCGTTCAATCGATTTCAGAATAAGAAAATCCGATGATAAATAGAAGAAAACAAGAACCCTTCTATTCCATACCGTATCTATCCTATCGTTTAAAAAATTTGTTGTATTGTGTATTTAATTGTGGATTATTAAAGGCTATAATAAAACAATCATGATTAAATATGTTTATCGAAGGAAAAGTATAAAATATAATCATCATTAGTTCTAAGTAAGTATACACGTAGCATATATTTCAGGTGTAAATAAAGAATCCACACAAAGTCTAAGTATATGTTAAAAGATATTTCTCGTTCGTATCGTTTTATCTGTGCAATAGATGGAGTGTTGCAAATGAAATTGTGAAATATTCGGAGGTAATTATGTAGAATACCGACGACTTCGATACCGATTTCAATAAACTTGAAATATATTACAAAGGAAAGGTCGCAAGTTAGTGACGATATTTGGATGGAAAATGAAACGTTCACCTCTAGTTTTCAAGATATAAGGCTCCTGGATAGTCGTTGCAACTGTTCTTGTTTGATGACGTTAGAAGCGAGAAAACACATGTCAAGAATTCTTGCGTTATACGTTCAAATAAAAAAAATATACTCACAATATGACATTTGTGATTGATTCAGTACATTTGTAAAATTGTCCGTGCATTTTTCTTTTATTCGAACAAGCAATAAATAGTCGTGAAATTAACATTGACAAAATCATGAAAAAAGAGATTAAAATGAATAGTTCCATATCAAATTGATTTTGCGGTTGTTTATTGATTGTTCGAGTAAAAGAAGAATGCACGGACAATTTTACAAGTGTACTGAATCGATCATAAATGTCATTTTGTGAATATATCTTTTTATTTAAACGTATAACGCAAGAATTCTTGACATGCGTTTTTCCGCTTCTGACGTTATTAAACAAGAACAGTTATAGCGAGAGACCGGGAGATATAATTATTTAGCATCTTGGGTAACAATATTCTATAGAAATATGATATGTCTAGTAAAACGTTTTATATACATGTACAGGGTGAATCAGTTAAAGCGTGACAAACGTATATCTTAAAAACAAAGCATTTTACAGAATAATGTTTCATACATAAGTTATATGGTTTCAATGGGGATATAAGATAATGGGAACAATTTGACCTTAGATTATTGTTTGAAGATCACGTGAAGGTCACCTTGAATTTTTTAAATAGAACCCGCTATTTTTTATTTCATATTTTTGTAGCTCACCTCAAAAACTTTTCAAAACACTATAATAAGATATTGTTGCCTTAAATACTTTTCGAGTTATATAAATATTTTATTATAGTGTATTGAAAAGCTCTCGAGGTAAGCTACAAGAATATGCAATAAAAAGTAGGGGGCTACATTAAAAAAATTCAAAGTGACCTTCAAACAACAATTCAACGTCAAATCGTTCCTACCATCTAATGTCCCCTTTGAAACTATATAACTTTTGTATGAAACATTGTTCTGTAAAATGCTTTGTTTTAGATACAATAATCTATTATTGTATATGTTATTGTATATTGTATATGTTTAATATATATGTTCTATATAACTTAACTATAATTTAACTATAACTATAACTTTTGTATGAAACATTGTTCTGTAAAATGCTTTGTTTTAGATACAATAATAGATTATTGTAATAATAGATTATTGTATCTAAAACAAAGCATTTTACAGAACAATGTTTCATACAAAAGTTATAGTTATAGTTAAGTTATAGTTAAGATATATAGAATATATATAACAGATATATGTTTATCACACTTTGACTCACCCTGTATATATACACATTTTCATGGCTCTTCCGAGATTTGCATCTTTATTCGAATATAATCTCATTGCTTTTGCGAATTAGTAATTGGAATGAATACCTTGATATGAGGGAGCAATTTGTACACGTAGAAATGGGCCCTCTCCCTGGTTAATCTAACTTAACCTAAACCTATCTTCTGCCGTCGTGTACGACAGTCGCGTATTCAGGTTTTCCTCTTTTTGAATTAAGCATGATTATTGTTTTTTCTCCTTTTTCTTAAAATAATTTCAAAACTTACTAAAGGTAAGCGACGCTTAATTTTGGGTTTAGAGTACTCAGTGAATTTCCTTTTCCAACATACTTCAAAGTCATTCAATATCGGTGAAGTCGTCGCTAATAGAGTCAGGAGTTGTATACTGAATATACTGCTTTGGATAATAAATAATTCTTATGATGACTGAGCAAATAAAGTAAAAAAAAACATATATTTTCTTAATACAAGCACATTAATTAATGCTTTTCTTATATTTAAGCATATAAGAAACTACCCAGATAGAAATGCGTGATGATCACAGTATGTAATATCATATTGTATGACTTCAACTTAATATCTTTTTAAAGATTATCACGTGAGCATTAACATCATATCACATGAACAACAAACATCACGTGAACACAAGATGTACACACACAAATATGATGTGTGTATATTCATGACGTCGTGATTATGATCACGTGCTATTAGATATTTTTGTGACACATACCAACGTGACATCTTAACATGACTACCACCTATCTGTATCTATTGTTGTGTGCTCTATGCTGTGACTATTATAAATAAACAAAATTAGGTCAAATTGACATACATTTTGCTTGTCTAGATAGTTTAAAAAAAGGCTATTGATTTAATTTGGCTTATTTTATAGAACAAAGAGAATAAACTAATACAATATGATCTCATTCTATGCATAAAATCATATTTATGTTTTTATCTGCGCTTTATACAGCGGTTATCTTAATCATTTCAGCAAGCCAGTTCCAACCGTCTCTTTCTTTCATTCATTTTTTATTTATATTCCCCACCCAAATAAACACATTTCGGCATATTACACATTTCTGCGTCATGATGACTAGCATAAGTATGTTAAGATAACCTCATCCTCATATAGACAAGCATTTTATGTCAGTATATAAACAAAATCATCTGATGTCGTGAAAATTGCGGCGATATTATGATATGCCGCAAATATTAATATGCTTATTTTCCCGAGAAGAAAGAAAGCAATTAATCTGGAATTATTGTAGTAATCAGAAGTCGGTATTTTAATTAAAATGATGGAGTAATAAGTGAGTCTTCCTTTCTTCTTAGTTAGAAATATATAATGATGATTACATATTATCACAATGTTATCACTACTATTGTGACTTCAACTTAATACCTTTTTTTCAAAGACCGTAATTAACATTACATGAATACAAAATATATATATGTGAGTGTGCTTTTTTTAGTTATTTTTCTTGTATATATATACATATATATTGCAATTTTTCTGTGATTAACCATACTAAATACTTGTCAGAGCAACACGCAATAGGAAATAAAAAGAGGATATCTTGTAACTTTTTCCTTTCGTCACAACATCTGAACAGATTTTTCTTTTGAAGAAAAAACATTTAAAAGCTTAGTTCTGTGTTTATGCATCAATTACTGCTTTTCTTTGATTACAGATAAAAGGAAAGAGAATAGCACGGCAATACTACACAGAAGAAAGTCCATTAAGACAATCTCATTTTTTAGGCATAATTGCATTGAAAATTTCCAAACAGAAGCATTATTTATGAATATTTATATATATCATGATTGCTGCTTTGTGGAGCATTGTTGTCAATTTATTAAATAATCAACAGACACACGATGCATGAATATTTGAGTTTAATGAATCTGATTAGAAATTTTTGATATCGACTATTATGCTTAGGGGGAATAAGACTGCATTAGTGAAATATTCTATACATGATACTCCGCCCATGTTTATTTTACGAATTAATATCCGTTGACTATCAGTTTTGAATCATTAAAAAAATAGATACATATTATCCAATAAAAAGAGGGAGGGAGGGAGGGAGGGAGGAAGGGAAGAGAGAGACAGAGAGAAAGTCAACGCCTATAAGGTGATGATAAGCTGTAAACAAAGCCGTAAACAGATTTGAATCTCGAATATCGGAGCACTATCAGTTGTCGATATCACGACTGATTTATCGCATTCATTCCACGCATACTAATACCTTATTAATATAATATTTTAACATTAGGCGTGTCCTACTTCTCGTATATATTTAAGATGCTCAAGCAACTCTCCGAGTGAAAATGCGAAGAGAAAAAGGACATTCGCATCCTTCTAAATCAGTTGCCAGGTAATTAAAAGAATCACTCTTACTTTTTTTCGTATGTAGTACGTCAATGAAACGAAAATACAGTAGATTATTAACATACCTGTATTAACTTGGCTGAATAGCTGCTAACCGTAACGGGTTTGCTTTGTCCTGCGTGACTCTTCAAATAACTCAATCGTTGTCACGCCCCCTCTTTCTTTCTATCTGGACGATGCAAGTCGAATCTCGTATATGCGAACAGTACCTCCGTGTTGTGTTACATGGAACGAGTCCCGAAAACGACGCTTATCTCGTGAACCTTAACTACTGCTGTCACGTCGCAATATGTCTTGCATACGTGGACATGTATACGCTTATATACAATGTGCGCTTGAGTATCGCTTCGAAAACTCGATAGGTCTAATCGGAAAACACTGAAGCACATTGGTTACTATTGTTTGATATAGCAATGGCGATAAAAGTAGCTATACAGCATGCTTGCCTTCGTAAGCAAGCCTTCTTTGGTCGCGTTCAGCAGAACGTATATTTTATAACCATTGCAAGGGTTTTCCGTGCTGAGGTTGGATTATTCCTCTAGATCTAAAAATATAATCCAATCACAGCTCAGAAAACTTAAAATAGTTACAAAATAAATGTTCTGCTGAACGTGGTCCTTTTATTAGCTGCGTTCAGAAAACACAAGCGATCATCAATGTGCGATCATCAATGAGCTATCAGTTTGGATTATTGATCTTTGTTTTGTTAGATCCTTAAATTTAGACTAATTACGTTGACGAATTACTTGATCGTTGTAAGGTTGCGTTCGAGAATCCACACCGTGTGTATATTACTAGACATCAGCTGTTTTGAATTATCCAGTCTATATTTGGAAACATCATACTTTGGATGCGTTCGGGGAGACGCGTCATTCTATCTTTATTATTCTTTAGTGTCGGTTCACAATAAATATTTTAAGCCTTAAGCCTTAAGGAATTGATCAATCACAGTCGAATATGAAGAGAATAATTAACTGTGATTGGTCAATTTCTTAAGGCTTAAAGCTTAAAATATTTATTGCGGGCCAACACTTACGTGTACAACAAGGATGGAATGACGTGGTAAGGCTAAATAACGTCTCCTCAAGTACACCTTTGGTGTATTTTTGTGATTTCAGTGACTGAAATCATCAAAACATATCAAAGAGCGATGTTTCCGAATACAGACTGGGTGTTTCAGGACAGTTGGTATCTAGTGGTATGTACACCACAGTGCGAATTCCCGAACAAAAGTGTACTATTACAAATACAACTCGATCGTTGTATTTTCTGAACGCAACCATTTGCAGTGCGTCCCGATAATAAAAATATTAATTTTTCTTATTAATTATCAATTACTCAGTTCCTTTAATAAATCTGTTTATATTGTGTCGCCACGCTTGCGTATAAACTTCTCTCACTCTTTTCTATACAGCCAATAACAATCCATCTTCTATCCTAGAAGTATATATGGTATTGACAGACGTAGAAAGACGTGTGGGTAGAGGCGGCTTATAGAGCAACGCGGCCATGAGGCCATTTACAATTCTATTATTTTAATTAATTTTTTTACAACAGTAAGAATATAGGATTTAAGGATACAAGGATACAAGGAAGAAGGGAAAGTTGAAACGTAAAAACGTTAATAGAATATATAACGTATATTATATTAGGTGATTGCATATGAAACCGCATATGAAACCCGCTGGCAATAGATGGCGTTAGGTACACTATTTAGTGGCGGGTGGTTTCGCCTGTGTTCGTTTATTTTCGAAATAGGAGTCAAGTCCCCGATAATTCTTCTTGGGAACTAATTATACGTATTCAATAAAAGCAGGTTACGTACTCTTTACAGCAGAACTTTTATATTTTTCCTTCTCGAATACAAGTATTAACTTAAACATAACTCGCTACAATCTACGTAATTAAACGTAAGTCTTTGTCTCTTATTTTACGAGGGCAGTCCGATAAGTACTTAGCCTACAAAAGAAAAACGAAAATTTTGGAAAAGTGGCGATTTATTTCTCAACATAGTCTCCTTTTAGCTCGATACACTTGACCCAGCGATGCTCCAACTTCTTTAACCTCTCTTATTTTACGCGGCACCCATCGCGCCGACAGTTTTCTCATGCCCAAAATTTCATGCAGGATATGACCCACGCGGTCTTTTGAAATGCCTACTGTTTCAGCTATCTCGCGCACCTTCAATCGGCGGTCTGCCAATACGAGATCGTGGATTTTTGTCACGTTATCCTCCGTGGTAGCCATTTTCGGGGCACCTGGGCGTGGCTCATCAAAAACCGACGTGCGACCACGTTGAAACTCGTTAAACCAATTTTTGACGGTCGCCATCGAAGGAGAAGAGTCACCGTACACAGCATCCAAGCGCTCTTTGATTTCGCTGCGCGATTTCCCTTCCAAAAACAAGAATCGAATCACCGACCGATATTGCTCTTTTTCCATTTTTCTAAAATCCGCGGACACGCCCACTTCCACACGCGGTCAAAACAAAACTACGAATCCGATTCGGCTGAAATTTTGACAATAGCCGTCTACGAGAATGTATTACACGGATAGTAAATCTCTCTTGCGATAGTGGCGCCATCGAGCAGTGAGGCTAAGTACTTATCGGACCGCCCTCGTATTCTTTCTGTGTGCCTCAAGTGCTATCTCTTGGACTAACTGACTGCCTCGAGAGTTCTCTAACGGCTATTTCACTTTTCCGTTGGAAGTACTGGGGGAATGAATTGCCCCTAGCTTGATGCCACAATTTTTTCGAATTGAAAGTTGGCAATTCACATGATGATAGGTCGATAGAATCCCGCCAAAACACCATAGGTGATATTTGTGCGACGCGTTAACATCATTTATTTTGATTGGGTTTATAATGGCAAGTTTTGTTCCAAATAGGTCACATTTGCGGGAAGTTATGCTCCATTATTTTCTGGCAAAGAAATCGTCCGCGGAAACGTATTGTTTGATAGAGGAAGTATATGCCAAACATTCTCCATCGAATATAACGTACAAAAAGTGATTTCGCCGCTTCCAAAGTGGCGATTTCCTATGGACAAGGACCGCGGGAAACCATCTAAAAGTTTGAGGACACGGAAACCGCTGCTGAAACCGTCGGAAACTACCATTGGGGATCGTTATCAACTGTAACTGATCCGTTTGAAACGAGCTCTGCAAGAGAAGAGGCCGAAATGGGAGAATCGCCATGAAAAGTTGATTTTGCACTTCTTCAAATCCCTCCCGCATACACAAAATGTAGATGAGCAGTAAATTGTTATGTAATTTATATAGTTAGAAGATTTCCTGAATTGTATAAATTGTGTTTCTGAAGTGTTGTAAAGAAATATAAAATAAATTGAATATTGTTTTTTCAATTTGAAGCATTTTAAATTATGTCGAATGGTCTTGGGCTTTTTCAAATTTTATAACAAATCTAATCCTGTTAATTTTGAAAGTGGTTTAACTCTATTTATGGTAAGAAAACACATATTATTCACTTAATAATTGTTATTATTTTAATAGGAATTGTAAATTTAACTCTCTTAGATACACTTAAGCAGTGTGACACATTGGTATCCTATTTCCTATATATTTTTAATTTTATTGAAACGCAAACTCTTAAATATCTCAATTTAAGTATAAATGGACTTAGGTCACTTTCAAAATAAACGGCTCAAATATTTACCTGTACAGTTTGATATATTTTAACGCTGAATATGATATATATTTGTCTCGAATAAAGTACGAAGAGGCTCTCACAATGTGGTATATGAAAGCGAATGGTTTTTTCAACGTGGCTGAAATCGAAGGAAACAAAAATTCAATTCTTTGAATGGTCATATGAATAAGTCATTCTACCTTACAGCTGGGAAAATATTGACAATGTCTACATTTTGCAGCGTAAGATAATTTATAACGACTTTTATTTGATTCGTATACGTATATACGTATATACATATACGTGTATATATATATATATATATATATATATATCCACCAAAATATATCCACCCAAGGTTTTGTAATATCTAAAAATACAAAAGAACACATACGGAGCAAAGTATAAAAATAATGAATTAGTTCATTATGCTATAGATAGTATTATTAGTTGTTCTCATTCATACTAATTATTAATAATTGTATCTCATAAAGAAATAAAGTAAAAAAAAAAATATATATATATAATATATATTTATTGTCCTTAATTAAAAATAATATCAATTGTAATTATCAAAGTGGTAATATTCTATTATATATTTTTACTTTATTTCTTTATGAGATACAGTTATTAATTACATATATATATATNTTGAATGAATGATATGTATAGCGCGTCAATTAAAATATATTATGTAATATGAATTAATAATGGTAGTCTGTTAATCGAAAAAATATATTTTTTGTTGTTTTAATATTTGTAATTAATTAATTATTATTTTATAATTAATAACTTACCAACGGTAAATTCTATATGTTAACCATACAGTTACACATATGGCATATAAATAAATTTATAACGTTTAATATGAATATATATAAATGAATTGATGAGAATATATTAAAAATCGATAAATTACGGATTTTCTTACTTATAAAAATATATCACTTAATTTATAACTTCATTACGCACGTTTTATATTACTACTTTTATCGCAAAGAAATATTTCTCACATAGAATGAATTTAAAAGAATTCTCACATTGCCATTTTTAATGACGCATCTTCATTTTTCAAGTCATATTACATAAGTAATTAATCATTATTCGGTACAACTGAATAAACACGATCGTACATATATAAGCACCATTGCGAAGGCGATGCGCTGAACGTCGAAAGTCGAAGGTCTTTTTTGCGCAACGACATTGCCGTTTGATCGTATGATCGTAATGTTGCAACTCGTGGGGGTTCTGGTTTTTCTCGCCATTAGTGGTAAGAAGTATAAAATATTTTCATCGAGATTCTGTTAAATATCAATAACTATAGTTATACTGATCACACATTACATTCGATTTTGAAAACAAAAGCTCTTCGTTTTTGCATCAATAATTCGCAGAAAGTTAGATGAAAAAATATACGTTTGCATTAAGAATTAAGAATTATATTTGAGTCGTGTATGATGTATACAGAAAAAAATAAACATTATTTCTGTTATCTTTGCTATTAAAATCTAATAATTTATATTTCTTTTGTCATAAGAAAAATTATAATTAATTAATTACAATAATATATAAAATAATCACGGTTAACCGAGGTTCTTCACGTAGAAATAGTGCTCAGTATTTTCATCGTTAATAGAGATGTTGTTAACAGTTGTTCATGAATAATTTTACTACTTCTACAATTTGAAATATTTGGATTATACGTTTTTTTTATCATTTTGAGTTGTTAAAATACAATAAGCAATTTAATTTTAAATGATAGAATGTATGTCGATATGTTATTATATATTCCTTGTTTTTTATAAATGTTAGATATTTATATTGTGATATACGTTTTTTTGAAGCTTCTTCAAATGTTATGTTAGCAAAATAAAAAAAAATATAGTTAATAAAACTTTTTACTAAAAATAATAAGAAGCATATATAATGATCCATATCTCCATATAGGTATCAACAGTGAAGTACCACAAAATGATGAAAATGTCAATAATTATCCATGGATGGCATCCATTACAACGCACGGTAAACACGTTTGCAGTGGAGTTATAATTGATGAGTATCATATCATCACGTCGGATCGATGTGTTCCATCTATGAAACATACCTGGAATATTATGAATAATATTGGCGCAGTTGTGGGAAGAAACTCCCTTAAAGTTGACGGTTTTCATATTTTTGTCAGAGAGACATTCTCTCAAAATCATTATATCAACCCAACTAAGAATCCCACCACGACCGGTCTTGGTATTCTGAAGGTAGGATATGCGTATATTGTATTAATTATTATCAATATACATACATTTATTTTACTATATGAATAATTATTATACACCATAAAAAATTAAACTGCAATATTTGAAGAGAATCTTCGTTTTAATAAAATATTATAAGAATATAATATTACAAGGAATATGTTGGGTTTTCTACACATCTACACTCTGGCACACTTTAATTATGGGGAAATATTCGAATTTTTAAAATATTTTTTTAACCTCCAGATATTCAGAAACTATATCGGGAAAAGAACAAAATACTTTTCGAGATATTAAGTAAACACAGACCATATTATATTAAGCAAACACAGACCATATTAAATGTATTCTCTTTACAATTAACGTCCAACGTTTGGACGTTAATTTTGAATATTGATAATATGCCAGAAAAATTATGTTCGAATTTTATCAATATAGTTGGTATTTATTTCCTTTCATTTTCTATGGCACTAATATCAAACTGCTCTGTTTGGCTCTTGCATAATGGCTTGATACAATGACAATTTGATTTTTTTTAAATAAGAGCTACTCAATTATTTATTTCGTATTCTAGGTTGCAATGCCAATTCCGTTTGGAGATACAATACAACCGATTGAATTGTCTTCGACTAAAGTACCACCTGGTGCAAAACTGCAAATGGTTGGATGGAAGGTTCAAGATAACGAAGGGAAGGAGGCGACAGATCTTAAAGCAGTAACATTAAAAACGATAAATCATCAGGAATGCCAGCCATTACATGAGAAGAATCTTACTGATAATGAGTTTTGCACTGTGCCAGAATCATCCACAGGTGACAATTGCAAGGTAAGCCATAATAACTATTTTACGATGCATAATTGTGCAACATATATGAACATAGTAAAAACGACAATACGGACCGTAAAGTGTTAATTATTTCGAAAAATAATGATTTAAAAAAAATGTTTGGCACAAAAGTTGTAAGGTTTAAAAAAAACTATCAGACATTGATAATTGTTCGACTTTAAAATAACCTGAACCGTTTCTAAACTTTTGGCAGACCCTGTATATATATTATATTGTATATAATCTGAACCAATAATTGTTTAGGTTTTATGCAAAATTTAACTTTCACACAATTTTGTAACTATTTCAAAATGAATTTTGGATAAAAGATAATAAATTGCGATACTCTATTTTCTCCTTTTAGTTTTAATTACATTCATCATATTATATCATATTATATCATATCAAATCAATAACAATTAATTCATGACATAAAACAGGAATACAGTGCAGTTAATTATTATAGACTATATAGTGACTACCACGTGCGTTTATAAAAATAAAATCACACACAATGTATAAATGTATATTTTAAGAAAATGACAATGTTGAAAGTAAATAGATACTGATATTAACAATTATGATTATTATTTAGGGTGATAGTGGCAACGCTGTGATTTATGAAGGCAAACTTGTTGGTTTGACTACTTTCGGAATTTCGTGCGCAAATCCCCAGATACCGGATGTCCACACTAGTATAAGTGAAATGCATGAATATATTAACAAGGTCTTAGCAGTATAAAAATTCATTAAATCCTTGTATCATATATTAACTTGTATCATATATAATTTTCTTAATTACCTCTTATTTATTTTTAATATGGATCTTAAAGATGACTGTTCATAAAGTAAAAAAAATGATAAATTGTGTTATAATATAGCTAAAGCATAAATACGTGAATTATATTTATATATCGTGCAATAACAATTCATAGATCATTCGTGCGCAAATCCCCAGATACCGGATGTCCACACTAGTATAAGTGAAATGCATGAATATATTAACAAGGTCTTAGCAGTATAAAAATTCATTAAATCCTTGTATCATATATTAACTTGTATCATATATAATTTTCTTAATTACCTCTTATTTATTTTTAATATGGATCTTAAAGATGACTGTTCATAAAGTAAAAAAAATGATAAATTGTGTTATAATATAGCTAAAGCATAAATACGTGAATTATATTTATATATCGTGCAATAACAATTCATAGATCATTCGTGCGCAAATCCCCAGATACCGGATGTCCACACTAGTATAAGTGAAATGCATGAATATATTAACAAGGTCTTAGCAGTATAAAAATTCATTAAATCCTTGTATCATATATTAACTTGTATATTAACTTCAATTCAAAGATCGCAATTACAGTTAGCTTATTAATAAAAAAATTAATTTGCACGATGTTGTACCAATTTTCAAGAATATGTGCAAAGATAGATATGATGATTGACATTTCTTACATCATTCATGTAACTACATATTGTAAAGAGGTAAAAAAGAACATCTTATATATGATATATTTAATAATATTATGTTTAATTTGTTTAAATGTTAAACAAATAAATATTTAAGCAAATTGTACACAGCAATTATGTAATTACACTATTATAAACTCCTCTTCCCTTCCTCCTCTATATCCTTACTTATGAAAAAGATTATCCTTAACCAATAAATATAAATATATATAATTTATTAATGTAAAGGGAAGGAAATTTGAGGAGTAACCTTGAATTGTCGATTATACAATGAAGCTAAGGTAACCAACTTACGTTCCCTTCCAAATCCTACTCCCAACTTTTGTATGAAACACTTTTCCGTGTCTTTCATACGTTTTGGAATATTTACCTGGGGTAATTAAAATAGGACAACCTTGGATAATTATATTTTCACGCACTGAAGAAATATATCATTTCAAATCGGACGCGAGGAATAGGTAAAAGGGAAGAAAATAAAAGGGCACATAAAGTAAGAAAAAAATAAGAGGATACAGGGAATATGAAATGTAAATGTAATCTTTTCATAATTCAGTACAGACGGGTTTAAAGCTTCAATAAAAGTGTATGTATTTACGTAAAGCATGATATAAAATTAACAGTTTGAACAAATTCGATACGTCAGCAGATATAATTTTGCAGTTGATGAACAAGTTGAGAAAGGTTTTCAAACTCACTTTTTTGTGGGGATATCAACAATAATGTAGATTATAAAACTAATTGTTCATAAATACAAATATACAATATTCATAACGTGTTCCTTGCGAATAAAATATACACGATGAGAGCAAAAGTATAAAAAGTATTTAACATTATTTCATTGTTAAAGAATTAAAAGTTTTGCGTAAATTTTTGTGTCTTATGTTTAATTGTAATAATAATCTGATTTATAATTACATACATTAAAGTAACATAGCGTAACATTAGTTATAAAGTAATATAAATGGACGGTTCTAGATAACAAAAGCCATTTTATGTTTTATATTATTATAAAACATCTTAATCCTAATTATCATAAGTTG